CCCCGCACATCCCCGCTCCCACCCCAAGTATACTCCACTCTGCTTTTTTTAATAATTATTTGCAGCACAATGATGGCTTTCAATGAGTGCTGAAGGCATCTTGTTTCAAAAAAGTAAAAATTGCAATGGGAATGAGAAAATTAAGACAAAAATGCAGATAGTCTTTTGAAAATTCTGGAAATAAAAGTGAGTAAGAAGATGGGATCTCACCAAGAGAAAAAGAAATTCTTAGAGGGATATACATTTAAAGTAATAAAAATCTTAAAAAACTTTATCGTTCAAGTAGACAGCATTTGTAGACAGGAAAAATTAGAGGTGAAAGGAAGAGCAAAGAGGAAATTCTCCCAAAATACTGACGTAAATTAAATCCAAAGAATAAAACAAAATGGCAGCCTTTGCAATAAAAAATAATTTCTTCAGATACAGGAATGCTGACTGGAAAATGTAGATTGGAAAGATGGGGAATGAAGGAGTCCAAGCTTAGATGACTTCAAATGACTCACTTTAGGACAAAGCAAGATTTTCTGCTAAAAAGAATTGTGTAACTAAAGAGAAAAGTCCGCAGGTGGGTTTGTTTCATTGTTACAAATATACAGGTGTCACAACATTTATGAATTCAACATTTTTCATCTGTACAATTCAGTGATCACCTTTCTTGGGAATGGGAATAAATATGGAACTCTACTAATCCATTGGCCGTACAGCTGTCCTCCAAATTCCTGGCATAAACTGATGAGTGCATCCAAGGCTGCATCTGTTAATTGAAACAAGTCAGTTGATCCAAATGTGAAAATTATCTAACAACATCATTGATATCACATGCAAGCCAAATATTGCTGAAGATCACTCAAAAATGGTTAGAACAGTACATTTATAGGAAACTGCCCGAGGTTCAAGCAGGATTTAGGAGAGGCTGTGGCACCAGGGATATCATTGCTGATGTTAGATGAATCCTGGCTGAAAGTAAGGAATGCAAGAAGAATGTCTATTTGTTATTTATTGACTATGCAAAGACATTTGTGTGGGTCATGACAAGTTGTGGTTGACACTGAGAAGAATGGAAGTCCCAGAGCACTTAATTGTGCTTGTGTAGAACCTATACCTGAATTAGGAGGCTATTGTGCAGAAGAAGAATAGATGCCTTTGAGTCTTAAACATACCATGGGTCACCAAGAAAACAAATAGGTCTATTTTGGAGAGAGTGGAACCAAGTTTCTCCTTGGAGGCTAGGATTTTGAAGCTCCATCTCACATACTTTGGGTATGTGGCTAGAAAGGACCATTCCTTGGAGAAGGACATCATGCTCAGAAGGGTGGAAAGGACAGTGCAAGAGAAGACTCCAGATAAGATGGAGAGATACAGTAACTAGGGTACTGGTGGTAGGTGTATCAGAGTCAGTGAGACTGGCTCAAGACCGAGAGGGTCACTACAAGTCACAGATGACTTCAACGGCACATAACAATAACGAGTGGCTATGAGTCACAACTGATTAAACATCAATGAATTTGGGTTAAGGGTTTAATTGGTAAAACCATAACTAATTGCTTTTTGTTGTTGGCTGTTATGTACTATCAGGTCAAAACTAACTCATAGCAGTCAATTCCTGAGTTCAGCAGGTCTTCAGAGGCAGTGAATCACATAGGAGGATATTGCCTATGTTTCTCCAGTGGAGCAGCTGGAGAATTTAAACCATGTGCCATTGGATGGACAGCACAATTTCTTACCACTAGGCCACCAGAGTTCCCTGTTTAGCATAGAGTCATGCTTGATACTACAGTCCATGCAATGATGAAACAAATATGGGTTTTGTCCTCAAAAAAATGTATCCCCAGGAGAGAATAGTCTAAAAGTATTATATTTTAGGGCATTATTTTTATCGTAGGAGTATGCAATGAGGGTTGGGGAGTGGATTATGGGTGGGGGTTAGGGGATTGTGTACCAATGAGGGAGTTTTTCTTTTGCTTTTCAGGGAGAGGAGCAAATGGGGGGGGGTGAGGTGGGGTGGGCGGGGAGAAGGGTGCAACAATGAATGAATGGAATTCCAAAATCTCTGTAAATGTTCATTGAAATGAAAAATAAAATTTTTTTTTAAAAAGAAAAGGCATGGAGATAGAATACATTCTTAATGGACACCCTTCTCAACTTTGAATCATGCAGTGTCTCCTCCTTCTGTTCTGATGATGGCCTCTTGGTTCAAGTATAGGTTTCTCATAAGCACAACCAAATGTTCTGGGATTCCCAGTCTAAACATAACTTACTTTGTTTATTTTTTCCATCATTACTCTGATTTTGCTCTTGTTTTCTCCCTCTCAACATAAATAATCCATCTCTCATTTCTCTAGCACATAAGATGAAACCCTCTGGTGAAATTCTACTCT